AAGGTCGTTCGGGGTGTTAGGGTCGGGAAGAATGGTTAGTGTTAAACCTTTACCCTTCCGCTTGCCCCGAGCGGGCATCCTTGCAATCGTCACGCCCCGAGGCTCGGGCTTGTACTTCTCGGGCACATCGTATACTGGCTCGGGCAGGTCGACCGCCTCGTAGCACTCGGGCGTCTTGAAGATCCGGTACTCGTAAATCTCTCCGGATATCTTGGTGGCCGCGTCCTTGAGGGCCTGAGTCTCGGCTGGGACGACTTGTTTCCTGAAGCGTTGACTCCAGACCCTCTCGACCGGGAGAATCCACGGCTCGTACTTTACTGAGAACAGCCGGTTCTTCCATCCCCGGTTGTTCCCGGGCAGGCCCTCAATCGAGCACATGTCCGCCCGGGATTGGGTCATCAGGTACCCCCCCCCCCCCCCCGTATGTGGCCGCTAGCACCTTCACCTGGTAGATGAAGTTGAAGAGCTCCATGGTGCAAGCCAGGTTGTGTCGACCGCAGATCTGCGGGAAGCATGCGATCATCCGGTGCGCGTTCGGGCAGATCTGCCCGGGCACCACCTGGTAATAACCCAGGAACGCGGTGAGGAGACCTGAGAAGGGGAAAGTGATCAGGGCCATGAGGGAGTTGTAGTGCATCTCGAGCCACTTTCCCCAGTGTCGCTCGATGATGTTCCTGAGCTGCCGGCTTGTGTCAAACTCGACCCGACCGGCGAGAGTTGCGGCGATTTTGGCTGCTTCGCCCTTGGTTAATTTGCTCATCTGGGTCTCGACGCTCTCGCTGTTGAGAAATTCGAACCCGTCTCCGCCTGGCGCCGCTGGCTCGGCCGGGTCCTCTTCGACCGGCTCCCCGTCATCTGCCCGGTCGCCCCCTTCGGGCCCAACCTGAGGGTAATCCCCAATTACCCTCGTAGGCGTTTCCATAACGCCTTCGACTGGGGAATTCCGTCCACTCGTGGACGTTTTCCCGCTCTCCTCGCTCGAGCTCCCCGATCCGCTGAGCTCGACCCCGACGTCCCAGACGAGCTCGATGACCTTTCTTGCTCGGGGACTCGCTCGGGGATTTGCGGCGGTCGTTGTACAACCTCCGGAGAATAAGACATGATGTCCACCTCCTCGCTAATTTGCTCGACCTCGTCGTCGTAGTCTGCGACCGAGACGTTCTGGCTGTCCGAGTCCGACATCCTTTCTACCTAAAGGTCGGTCGGGGTTAGTACAGGGCTCGGGACGTTGGGTTGGAGTTAGTTTTATCCTACTACTATGCAAAGCTTAAAGTAAGAAGTAAAGCAAGGAACTAGGGAGCTTACCGATCACGAAGACTTAGAAGAAGCTGAAGTTGATTTGCTCGGTTGATCTGCTGAGGTGCTCACTTGGGACTCTCTGAGGGTGCCGGTTGAATCAGAGAATTGAGGAAAGTTCAAATGAAGGCCTCAAGGGCCTATTTATAAGAGAGCGTTTGGGCGGGAAACCAACCCACTTGCGTGACGTGACCTGCGCTGATTCCGAGGCGACCATTGCAGTCGCAAAGGCCGGCAGTCGTCGACACGTGGCGAGAGAGGGAATGACAGCTGGCCGGTCGGTTTGGCGGCTGACGGTTGGGCTTCTTCATCCCGTCCCGTTTTTTCCCGGATGGTCAAAAAGGCCCGGGCTGGGGGGCTCTTGGTAGGGAATACCCCGACCGACATAAGCTTTACCCCGACCGGTATGCCTTCGTCCTTTTCTTCTTGTCTTTGCAGGTAACAGGTCGGGTTTCTTGTGAAAGACCCGGTCGGGATCCGACCGGGCGTTACCCGAGCGGCAATGTCGACCACCGAGCGGTAGCCCTTTAGCGAGAGAGCGGACGAGGGACACGTGGCGGCTCCACGCGTTGACAGGCAGGGCACCCGGGACGACGACACGTGGTTGCTACGTGGGAAGCATGTCGAACGGCCGGATTTGTGTCTCCGGCTCCGCGGCTATAAATACCCGCGATAGCGACAGTGTGAATGACTTTTGGACGATCGATGGGTTGTTGTTAGAGAATCCCGACCGCAGTCAGTCGGTACTCAGAGCAGCCATTTAGATTGTACTTAGGGCCTTCATTGATCAATAAGAGTGGTTTATTTGCTTTAATTGGTCTCTTATTTACTTAATTACCGCAGTACGTGGCAATTAACACTATCAGAATTTTTCCTACGATGTGTGATTACATAGAAATAAGAGTCTTATTTATAGCGGTAGGATATAAGAGTTTTGATAAACTCAAACTCTTTTGATATTATCTAATTAACAAATTAACAAATTAATAAATTAGATAATATCAATATTATTCATACATAAATTCAAATATACTAATATTGATAAATAATCAATATTTATCAAAATTTAAGTGTCAACAGTAACAATTATAGAATATTACCAAGTGGCTTGTGGTTTACTAGTATCTGGTTGCTCCCTTAAGTGGGAAGGGATAGGTTTAAACCTCACTTAAGGCGAGTATTGTGTATATAGGGGCAAATTATGCTTGGAAACGTGTTCACCATGAATGGTGAACACGGATCCAAATGGTGCTGTTTTTACAAAGAAAAAAAAAATTCGCTAATGTGGTGTTAACAGCGCGCGTTTAGTCAAATTATGAATGTACTGTAAATTCATAATCTCATAACAGAAAATTCATAATCGCATAAAAGAAAAACATTTATTAAATTATGAATTTTCTGTTATGAGATTATGAATTTACTGTAAATTCATAATCTCATAACAGAAAATTCATAATCTCATAATAGAAAGTTTATAATCTCATAAAAGAAAATTCATAATTTCATAATTGCACATTCATAAATCCATGCAATTATGAATGTGCATACATGGATTTATGAATGTGCAGTTATGAAATTATGAATTTTCTTTTTATGAGATTATGTTGAAGAAGCTTGCGCGAAAAGGAAGTGAAACAACAAAATGTGAAAATGAAGAAGAAAAGACGCGCGATTAATTAAGAAAAAAAAAAAAAGATAACGGTGCACTGTTACCGTTGGAACCGTGTTCACCATTTCACGGTGAACACGGTTCTGTGACATAACGATCCTATATAGGGTATCCCCTCCTTATAATATTAAAAAAAAAAAAACAATTATAGAACATTATTACATTATTATAATGGGCAGGTTGATAATGCGCCAAAGAAAAAAGCCACCCATCCACCGCCACCATTGACGTTTGCATGCCAGCCCGGCCTCTTGCAGTCTTGCCCCTTGGCCCCTCTGTCTCTCTCAAGACAACCACACTATTACTGTATTACACATACATTTGGATATAATTATGGTTCGATTCCGGTTCAGTTTCGAGTTTAAATCGTCAGTTCAAACTTTTTCTTTTTTGTGATTTTAATTTTTATTTTTAAAATAGTTCAAATTCAATAATTATTTTTTTTCCCACTTTGAAATTGGAGCTGCCGATTTTGATTTTTAATTTTAATAAAATGAAATTAAAACCTTTTTAAATTTTCGTTATGAACTGGAATCGGAACTATCCTTACGATTTGGATTCTGATTAGATTACTATATTGTTTGATTTGATTCAAATTAACCGATTTTAAACTAAATTGTAATCATCCCTATCTGTATTCTCTCTCCCTCTTATATGCCTATATACAACCACCACCCATAGACGGAGCCAAACGGGGCAGGGGTCAGCTCCCCCCTCACCCCACCCCCACCCCTACCCTACCCCATATATAATTTTTGTATGTATATAGTACATTTTTGAGTATTAGTATATAAAAACTGTTAATTGTTTATAAGAAATGAGTTAAATTAGTTGGTAGAGCATGCATTTGGTTATAATAAAGGTTAGGCCTTTGAATCATATAGTTTTTTGGCTCCTTCCCTATGACTCTAACACAATCACGTTTTAATAGTTTTTTTTTTTTTTTTGAAAACACGTTTTAATAGTTTTTTTAATATTTGACACACACACACACACACACACACACACACACACACACACACACACACACACACACACACACACACACACACACACACACATATATATATATATATATATATATATATTCAAATTATTTTATCAAATTAATTATGTTTCATATTTTGTTATCAATATTTTTATAAAGTTTCGATTTGTTTTATTTTTTGCCCATATCCAATAATATTTACACCTATATTTCTTAGGTAATTTATTTATTTATTTTTAAATATCTCTTTTATTTTAATGTTTCGCCTTTACTGAAAAAATTTTTGTGAATCGGTCCCTATTTCGCCCCCCCTCAACAAAATTCCTGACTCCGTCCCTGCCACCACCCTCATTATTTTATTAATAAGATTTGTACATATCATTACAAATCACATGATATTCACAAGTGAAAAAAAAAACCGGTTTGCCATCTGAGTTAAAGGTTATGATTAGAGCTAGCAATGTATAGGATTTAGATTGGATTCTTTGTGCGCATACGAAGACTAAAATTTAATCGGTGTGTATAGTATTCAACTCGTGATTTACCTTTACAATGGCTTTAGAGCAATTTATATCATGGACCAGGGTCTACATGGCATTATAAATCCTGGATAGAAACGACGACTCGACGAGGTACATAATTTATATTCAATTCATAAGGTACAGAATTTCATAACAAGACACAAAAAACATAACACAAGATACATACACATGTTATATATTTACTTATTTTTCAAATCTGATTTAGGTACAATCATAACACAAACTAGACATAAAACTCACAATATAAGACACATACACATGCATCAGGATCCATAGTGCATTATCAACACTGATCTAGGCTATAAGGATTGTGATTTTGGAAGTGGAATCCGGTGAACTTAGAATTAGTTCAGCAAAATTCAATCACTTAAGTAAAAAATAAAAATAAAAAAAAAATAAAAAACAAAACCTAGATAGACACGGTTAATTCCCTGTAAATACAATACTATTTATTTCTTCTCCCAATACAATACAATTACAATTACTATTGTTCCCAAATAGGGAGGGAGAGAGAGAGAGGAACGCGTATATGGTATATCTGTATGCAACTCTGTTTATAGATATGTATATCTGTGCAAATAAATACATGAGGAGAGAGAGAGAGGGAGTCGGAAATCCAACAGGCGATAGAGAAGATGAAAGACAACAATAATCCAAAACCATTCTTCATACCAAGATGTTTCTTATTTTCTCTCCTCATATCCATACCTTTCCTCCTCCTTTTCTCCCACCGGACCTCCTTCTCCGCCCTCACATCATCCGCCGCCGCCGTGAACCGCCAATCGGATGAGGAGGGTCTCAAGATCCGGCCCGGTTACGCGTCCTACGAATCCTACATCCAGCGCCAGCTGAACAAGACCCTCAACCCCAAGCTCCGCAAGGTATGGACCACCCGAGACTGGGCCAGAAAGATCCAGGTCTTCAGCGCCTTCTTCAGCGATCTCAAGCGCGCCGCCCTGCTCTCCAACTCGTCCAAGGCGCTGTGCATCGGCGCCCGGATGGGCCAGGAAGTGGAGGCGCTGCGGCGGGTCGGGGTTTCTGACTCCATCGGCCTCGATCTCGTCCCCTCGCCGCCGCTGGTGGTGCGCGGCGACTTCCACCGCCAGCCCTTCGCCGCCGACACGTTCGATTTCGAATTCTCCAACGTGTTTGACCACGCCCTCTACCCCGACAAATTCGTCGGGGAGATCCAACGGACGCTGAAGCCTGGCGGGGTTTGCGTCCTACACGTGTCGGTCACTAAGCAAACTGATAAATACTCCGCCAACGATTTGTACAGCATCGAGCCATTGAAGAAACTGTTCAACCAGTCCGAGTTGGTTCGGACTCGGACCATAGACGGGTTCGGGTTGGATACGGAAGTAGTTTTTAGGAAAAAGAAGACCCAATCCCAACGGTGACGATAATCTCTTAGTTTTTATTTTTTATATTTTATTTTTATTTTTGAATACAGTTGGGATTCTTTTCTTTTGTTTTCTGGCAAATTAAATTGGGTTTTGCTTTTGTATGTACCTTTTGACTTGTATTACTTTAATTAAAGGGACAAAGCAATTTAATTTTTAATAATAATTAAGTATTTCCTTTTTATTTCACTTGATTCTTCATAGTTTCACTGTGATGAGATTATCAGGCGAGTCAATGATTCGTGATTAATAAGTTAATGTTTTACTGTTAATGTAATCTGATGAGTTGCTTGTTCCAATCGCACCTGTTTTGTTAGTTTTGTTGCTATATTTTCGTTTTAGTATGAGAGGGAATACAAATTGCAAGTAAGTATAGTATTTTCCTTGACATAATAATCTTGCAAATGCATTGGGAATAATTATTTCTCATTTATTGGTTTTCTCAAGAGTAAATACCTAAAATGGTCCATCGACTATAGTTAAATTACAAATTGGTCATTGACTTTCAATTTTAACCAATTAAGTCCTTAACTTTGCAATTTTAATACGATTTGGTCCTCCGTCTATTTGACCGTTTGTTGACGTGATTTCGGAGGATATATATGTAATTTCATGGTCCATCGTATGTTTTTTAAGGTTCTGGTTACATTTCCTGACTGCCCTGTTACATTTGAATCCACTGTCGAAAGCAATATGACAAATCCTATCGCCTTTCTTCATCCTCCCTTTGGATTCAATGTAGTTAAGTTCGTACCAGACCGAAGAAGACGACGTGTTTTCGAACCACAATCTGCCAAGTCCACGTGTTCCGACGAGAGTTGCAGGTTCTTCTGAAGATTGTCGATGACGGCGCGACCACCGACGTTGATGCAGAAGTGTTCGAATGCTTGTTTGAAGTCTGGAATGTAGGGTTTCCATTTGGGATTGAAGATTTTTCGACCGACGATGGACCATGAAATTACATATATATTCTCAAAGATCACGATCAACAAACCTTAAATAGACGGAGGACTAAATCGTGTTAAAATTACAAAGTTAAAGACTTAATTGGTTGAAATTAAAAGTCAAGGACCAATTTGTGAATTTAGCTATAGTCGATGGACCATTTTTTACTCTTTTCTCGAGTCAATTCATCCTATCAAATAGCTCCATTTATGATTTGCAAGTGGAGTTCTACTGTCTAAATTTTACTTCCGGAGGAGGCAGATTCTGAAGATTTTGAGAGTACAAAATAGGAGTATATGTAGCATTTTTCTTGCAAGTATTTGCTTAATTTTAATTGGTCACATTTACTTTTAAAATTGTGTTCGCTTAGCATTTTCTCTGAGTTTTAATCAGGTAACCCTTCTATAATGTTGACATGAAATTTAAATTAAAATAATTTTAGAATTTAAATTAAAATAATTTGATGACTTGTTTCATTATTGACTCATTCAAATCTAGAGAAAATCGTTACTTCCTCATTTGCGGCTGAAAACTGAAAATTGTTTCATATATGGGGTTGCTAAATCTTTACTATGTCCTTTCATGCTTTGTTGTAGAGCTCACTAACATCTCTCTTGAAACTCTCTTTGCCGTCTAATTCCTGAATATGCTCGAAGGTAGAACTTATTCATAGCTTTGTGCTCCTAGTCACAATTTAGAATTTCATTTCTCCTATTTGCTTCAGCTGCCTCGATTGGGCGTGCATCAATGGTAAAATGTCTATAATCTACTAGTGTTTGAAACCAAATTTGTTAGGAAACTTTGATGAGCTACTAGTGCATCAACTCATATATTGCTTTATAAATATTTAAAATTAATTATTTTTACCACATATATATATTAAATTAGTATGTCCAAAATATATAATTACAACCAAGTTCCTAATGAGATTTAGACATTTGATGTCAACATGCCTATAATTATTTATTTTGGACATATTAAGGTAATTACTTAGAAATCTTTTATCACTTTCGAAGTCGAGTTTTACTACCATTTCAATAAATTTTGTAATTAATAACTACTATCCATCCTCCATCATTGCAATTCTCTCTCCACTTTCAAACCACATTAAAAATTATTTTCTTTTTTAATGATTTCTTTTTTTTTTTACAGCCAAGCATCTTGTGCTTAGATGGCATGTAGTGACCTCTCCCATATGGGAAGTTATGAGATTGAGCCTCAGTGGAGGCGTTGTTGACTCTTTGTGCTTCATTAGGTTGAGAAAGTATGTAGGTCTCCATTAGGTTGAGAAAGTATGTAGCTCATGAGATTGAGCCTCAGTGGATGCGTGTCGGTGGTGTTGTTGACTCTGTGCTTCATTAAGTTGGCGTTGTTGACTCTTTGTGCTTTATTAGGTTGAGAAATTATGTTTGAACAGATACTACAATGCTCTTTGTGTTTCATTAGGTTGAGAAAGTATGTTTGAATAGATACTACAATGTAATAGAGTCAGTAGCATTCAAAAAAAAAATTTCTTTTTCTACAAGTAATATCTTTTCTCAATATATAAATACATTTAAGATATATAAAAACATAATAAGTGTGGATGAAGGTTATACCCTTCATTTATGTCCGTTTTTTCCGTTAAGTTTTATGATACATTATGCTATAAATATTGTACTATATAATATTTTGGACAAACATACCCCTACCGTTATAACTTCCGTTATCTTTTTCACTATTGCTACCATGCACATGCATCCACCATATATTTTCTTATTTTCAATAATAATAATAATAATAATAATAATAATAATAATAATAATAATAATAATATACACATTATATATTAGGGTTATATGTTAGTTATTTATTAAAATATAAATATTAAATTTATAGAAATGTTTTACATTATTATTATTATTTATAATAATTTAAATATTTAAAATTTAAATAAATTTAAAATTTTAATATAAAATATTAATATTGGGCACCTATTTTTTGCGTATCGCGCATAAGAAATACTAGTATTAATTAATAAAAGTAAACAATTCAAATCCAAATGTCCTCAAATTATTTTACGAAATTTGAAAATAAAATAATTCGTATTATATAAATATTTGGAGAAAAATGTATCACATTAACATTTGAAATAAATATAACATAGATTTTTTTTTTAAATATAACATTAATTCAAATTTAAAAGTCGAATACATATATATTATAAATATTTAATTACATTTAATCATTTATTTCTTCTCTACCAAACCAGTTTCATATCTATTTCGGTCAAGTCTTCTTGCAGTTGAGGATTTGTTGACTTGTTGTGAATAAGTGCATGATTTCAAATATATTCCTTGTTCCGAATTAAGTGGTCTTGTGTATTTTCAATCATGGATACATTTGAAGTCAAATAAATATTATTTTCAAATTTATCAAAAATGAAAAATTAAAAATATAGAATTATTTATTTAAATAAAATTAAAAATACAAAATATAAATTTGAAGTAAAATAAATATTATTTTTATTAAATAAACATTTATCAAAATACTAGGAAAACAATGGTCGGGGATGGGCCGAGGAGAGCTAGTGGGGCTACGTCAATCACCCGACCCACCTTATATTTTCTCTACCCATTTCGCCCACACCCCACACCCACCCCACCGGGTGCGGGTGCCACTACGTGTACCTACCACTTATCATCTTATTATTATTATTTTTTAAATATAATATTTAAATTACTTACACATAATTGATGTGAGTTTATTTGTGCATGATTCTATTGCTAGTTTGAATTTACTTTTGAGTTTTTAGTTCGTTAAATTAATACTTTCAGTGCATATTCCCTTGCTTTCTCATGAAGATATGGTTTTATACTTGATTTGAATGTTTTACGGTATTTGTTAGTGTTTTGAAACCACTATAGATCAATTTGATTGCAGTATATTTCTCAAATAAATAATACCTAGAGTACCAGGTTATCGATCCACAGGGAAGTGGGCGTATTAAGGATGAATGCCATAAATTCAATCAATTGCAACAGGAAAGAATTACAGAAAGTATATCAGAAGTCTACCACTAAAGACTCCTATCTATCAGGGTAGTAGAACAGGACTTAATCATCTACTACACACTAATAGACTATAGACAAATAATAATAATAACAAATATATTAACCATACTAACACACCCCCTCAAGCACAAGGTGGGTGAAGCACAACATTGAGTGTAACATCCCGTGTTACGACCCCTAAGATCAATTAAATCATTTAATCAATTATCCAAAAGAAAGAATTAAAACACAATAATTAATTAGGAAAGGCCCACCATAGTCCACGGACCCTTATCCCTAAACCCAACCCTTAGTCCCAAAAGAAATAGAATTAGCAAGCTCATAATATTAGTTCCCAACTAGGACTCCTAAATATATAAATAGGGGACTTAAGAGGCACCTAGAAACCCCCCCACAAGAATAACGCCCCACCCCAAAAAGAGCTCCAAGAATCCCCCTAGAAGAAATCAAGAAAGCAAGAAAGCTTAAAGAAAGACCCTTCATAGCCAAGGAATTAATTAAGGCTAAGAGGTAACCCATGTCTCAACAAAACCTATTTTCATAGTTATGATTCCCCCTTAGGGTTTCCCCATATTATTGTGTATTAATGACTTGTGATGATTATTATTGATGATTGATGTGATGATCCCATGGGGGATCTTGATAATCTTGATATTGGGAGATTCTTGATAATTATGATGTTCTTGATGATTATATGGAGTTCTTGATGATTATGTGTTGTTCTTGATAATTGTGTGATGCCCTTGATGCTTATGTGTTATTCTTACCGAATCTTGCAATTAGAAGACGAATCGTATTCTTGTTGATATAAAAGTGATTAGAACCCTAGGTTGTATCGTATGATATTATTCTTGGATTATCGGGTGGGGTAATCGCATGTTTGGGTGTTGATTATGTTTAGAAAAGCATGATAGGTTATGTGTCGTTCGTTTCTCGTATTTGATCCGTTAATTGTCTACGTGTTGTCGTTGATTGCGTTGTAAAGTGTCTAAGCATGGTTTCGGGTTCCACAATGGTTCCCGGGGTGAAATTGTGTGATAAGAGTCAGTGGGGGGTAGGGGACCCGCCACCTACCTACGGCCGGAATGGTGATCCCGGCAGCGGGCAGCCGGCGGGCGGGCAGCTGCCCGCCGGCGACCCGCTGCCCGGAATAGTGAATCCGGCGTGTGGCCCCCCACCCACCGGCTACCCGCTGGAATGTTCCCCATCTTGGGTTCCCGGCTTCCCCGTTTGATGTTTCCCCGTCCCCCGTGGTGTCCCAACGGACTCCGTTTATCGTGCCTATGTCTAGTTTGATATTTCGGGTACCGTTCGTAGGTTTATGAGTCTATTATTTTGCATGCTAGTTGAATTGGTATCCCGTTGACCTAGGTGGAAGAAGTATGAACCCCTTAGGACTATTCTTAGTATGTGATGGATCGCGCATAGGTTTTGTTATACGTTTTCTCCCCCTTCCCAATGTGTTAATGTGGGTTGCATGTACTTGCTATGTGTTATGTGTGCATGTAACCCCGAGTTGGTTAAGATCAATCGGGCTATACGGCAGTCGGGTGGGCTGAGAACCATACCGGTTGTTAACCAGGCTGGTAGAGACCGGTCAGGTATATAAATATTATATAGGACTAAGTTCCACTATACGGGCAGTCGGATGGGCTGAGAACCATACCGGCTGTTAACCAGGCTGGTAGAGACCGGTCAGGTATATAAATATTATATAGGACAGAGGTCCACTATACGGGCAGTTGAATGGGCTGAGAACCATCCCAACTGTTAACCAGGTTGGTAAAGACCGGTCAGGTATATAAATATTATGTAGGACAAAGGTCCATTAGTCGGTTGCGATCGGCTCCTCCGTAATGTGAGACGGGGCAGGGTGCTGCGGGGCCGTGTCAGAGCTATATGCGCTGACCCTCATGTATGGGCATGCGATTGGTCCTGTGGCGCCAACAAAGTGTGCTATGTGATGAGATATGGAGGAGTTGTGTTTATGAGTATATTGGGGGATGTGACTAAGGGATTTATGCTGGGGATTGTTTATGTTGGGTTATGATTATTAATTATGCTCAGCTTTATCTGTCTTACCTGTTGTGGATTGTATACGCTTGTTATAACTGTTGCTTATGTCTAGCCTTATCTGTCGAGTCATTCCCGATTTTAAAAGCTAGAGTCTCGTAGGATATATCTTCATGCTTCAAAATGGTTTTCGTATATCTATATATATCTCTATATGTATTGTATTTCAACGCGTTGGAGTGGGTTACCAGCATCTCTCGCTGAACAGATATATTTGGCTTTCAGGCACAGAAGATTAAGTCACTGGAGTGCGCTAGAGCTTGGAACATAGAAGTAGTTAGTTTCCCTTTCGGCCTGCGTGCCATGTTTATACATTCATATCATTGAGACATTAGTTAGTTAGCCTGTGCACCTGAGTTCTCTAGCTCAGGTGTGGCATAGCACCCCGTACACTCGTACTCTGTTTGGGATTTAATGAGATTTCATCTTTATTTTATAAGTTTTAAATATCTTGAAAATCTGGGGTGTTACATTGAGCTTGTCCCGTAAAAGAGTGAACCGCGGCCCCGGTATAGGTTTGGTGAGGATATCTGCTATCTGATCTTTCGTAGAAACAAAGTTAACCAAAAAATCCCCTGAAGCAACTTTGTCACGCACAAAGTGGTAATCAATCTCCACATGTTTCGTCCTGGCATGGAACACTGGATTCGCACAGAGATACGTGGCACCCAAGTTATCACACCATAAAGTGGAGGGCTGTCTAGAGTGTAATCCTAGCTCACAAAGTAGAGACACAACCCACATGACTTCAGCTGCAACATCTGCTAGGGCTTTGTACTCGGCTTCAGTAGAGGAGCGGGCTACCGTGCGTTGTTTCCGAGAGAGCCAGGAGACAAGGTTAGACCCTTGAAAAACAGCAAACCCACTTGTACTCTTTCTGTCAACAGGACAACCGGCCCAATCTGAGTCTGAATAAGCATGAATAACCGTAGTCGAGGACGGTTTTAGCCGTAACCCATAATCAGTAGTTCCCTTGATATACCGTAACACACGTTTACCATAGCCCACTGATCCGTGGTCGGTGAATGCATGAACTGGCAAAGACGGTTAACTGCATAAGAAAGATCAGGACGCGTGATAGTGAGATACTGCAATGCCCCAACTATGCGTCGATACTGAGTCGGATTATCAAACAGTTCATCTGACGGAGACACAACATGTGTCACAGAGGCTGGTGTGGCTAGTGGCTTGCAATCCAACATTCCAGACCTATTCAGTAAGTCATTCATATAGCGCCGCTGAGAAGCATGCCCGAATCTGAGTGGACTGTTTCAATCCCCAAAAAGAAACCTGGTCGGCCGAGGTCCCGTATCTTGAAGACAGAGGCTAGACGCTGTAGCAAGGAGTTAACTAAGGCAGCATCACTGCCCATCATGATTATGTCGTCAACATACACTAATAGATAAACCTGTGAGTTAGCCGTGTTGTAGTAGAAAAGCGAAACATTGGTTTTGGACGACGAAAACCCCGCTGAAACTAAGAAGTCATGTAACCGTTTGAACCAAGCCCTCGGAGCCTGTTTTAGGCCATATAGAGAGCGTTGTAGGAGACATACATGGCCAGGGTGTGCTGGGTTTTCATACCCTGGCGGTTGCTTCATGTAGACTATTTCAGCTAGATGCCCGTTGAGGAAGGCATTATGAACATCCAGCTGGCGTAATGTCCAGTTGTTTGTTATAGCCATAGAAAAGAGAATCCGAACCGTGGTTGGTTTGACAACCGGGCTGAAGGTGTCAAAGAAATCTTCGCCCGCCACTTGATTAAAACCTTTGGCTACAAGTCGCGCTTTGTAGCGCTCAACCGAGCCGTCTGCATTCCGCTTAGTGCAGAAAACCCACTTGCACCCGATGATGTTCATGGTTGGATCCGGTGGCACTAGACGCCAAGTGCTGTTATGGAGTAGAGCATTGAACTCTTGGTCCATAGCGTCACGCCACTCTGGATGCCCCACAGCTTGAGAGTAGCATGTTGGGTCAGTTGTTGCAGTTAGGGCCTGAAAAACTTCTGGAGCCCTTTTTGTCATGTGACGAAGGCGCATGACATGCCCTCTGTCTTGAGGTTGTGTCCGTCTAACACGTTTGCGAGGCCGAACTGGTGGTGCAGCAGGCTCAATAGCCAACATGGGTGCCTCTTGAGCCAAAGGAGTAGGCTCAACTATTAGGGACACAGTCCCTGTAGTAATAATGGGACTAGAAGCCCACGGCATAGCTATTGGTGTTGCAACTGTTTGTTCAGAACCTGTAGCAAAAGGGAAAATAGATTCGTTAAACCGCACATGGCGACAGATATAGGTTTTCCCGCTGGTTAGGTCCATGCACCTGTATCCCCTATAGGAAGGTGGGTAACCTAAGAAGACACATGGTGTTGAGCAATATTCCATCTTATGTCGATTATATGGTCGTAGATGAAGAAAACACTCACACCCAAACACACGAAGGAATTGATAAGGAGGGGACTTTTTATGTAGACGGTAGAAGGGACTTTCAAAATTTAGAACTGAGGATGGGAGATAATTTATTAAACACGTAGCAGCTTCAAAGGCGTAGTCCCAATATTGTTGCGGGACAGACCCTTGAGCAAGGAGAGCCAAGCCCGTTTCGACAACATGTCTATTCCAGCGCTCAACTCTCCCGTTTTTTTCATGCGTGTAGGCACATGATTGCCGGTGATTAATTACCAAGTTTAGAAACGTTGTGTGTAGTTTTCTGTATTCACCCCCTAGGTCCGACTGTATGGATTTGATAGAGCGCGAAAACTGCCGCTCTACCAAGACGCGAAAAGAATCAAAAACTTTATAAATGTCAGATTTTACCCGTAATGGGTAAAACCAGCAGTAGCGGGAGAAATCATCAACAAATAATACAAAGTACCGAAAACCACTAGAAGAGATTATCGCGGTAGGCCCCCAGATATCTGTATATAATAGGTCTAGTACATTTTCACTACTAGTATTTAGTCTTTCTAATTTGAAACGCGCCGATTTGCCAAGATGGCAAGCTGAGCACGACCCCACTGCATGACTTTTTGACGTAACCGAAACTTGTGACAAGATTTTATTTTGCACCACATCGTGAGGATGTCCTAGCCTGCGGTGCCATATGGACGGTGTAGCTCGAGATGAGACAAATGCACACGGATTCCGGGAAACAGACAATGCATACAGACCTCCTGAGGCAGGGCCCTTAAGCAGAACTTCCCTGGTTTTGGAATCCTTCACAAAAAAGCAATTGTCATGAAACTCAAAAAATACTCGATTTTCTTTAGCAAACTTTTGGACTAACAATAATGGCACTGTTAATTTTGGTACACATAAGACATCAGACATATGTAACGGTTTTGACACGGATTGAATGGATACACGGCCAACCCGCGAGATAACCAAAATTGTACCATTTCCTACGCGGAGAGTGTCCGGTCCACCATATTCATCAGAATTAGACAGCATGTTCACATCAGGCGTGGCATGTGATGAGGCCCCGGTGTCCGGGTAACACGCATCCGTAGGTGGTGCGGCTGCCGTCGTGTCACCGGAAACGGCAACATTGGCTTGAGCAGGCGGCTGAGTGGTGTAGCGTTTATTGCAATAGATCGCCGAGTGACCGTGAGCCCTACAGATTTGACACCGGGGAGAGCCACGGCCACCATTGCGTCCGCCGCGATTATTGTTTCGGCCACCATTGCGGCCGCGCCTGCCACCACTGGAATGGTGGTCATTGTTTCCATGCCCACGCCCGACATGCATCGCATGGTTGCCTCCAGTACTGCCGAAGTCCGCCGGAGCAACGAGATCATCACCAAGTATAAAATCCGCCGCCTGTAGGTGATCCGAGAGGGTGGGCAGTCCGACTGGAGTGTTGGCAGTCAGGCTGGCTACGTAGGATCGATACTCCGGGCGTAGACCATGCAGAACATATAGGTTCTGCCTGGCCAACGAAAGTGGTGAACCGGCTTGCGCTAGGGCTTCCACCAAAACCTCCGCACGCCCGAGGTAGTCCGCCGGAGAAGAGTTGCCCTGCCGGAGCGCTTGGAACTGTCCAAGCAAATTCAGGCACCTCGCCTGTGTATTGGATCCGAGAGCCGTAGTGATCGAGCGCCACACCTCTGCCGCCGTATTCCGGCTAACCGCCAAGTGGAGTACCTCGTCAGACATTGAGGATATAAGGAGATCGAGCGCCACACCTCTGCCGCCGTATTCCGGCTAACCGCCAAGTGGAGTATCTCGTCAGACATTGAGGATATAAGGAGGGAGAGGATCGACTGATCCTGCTGCATCCACACCTTGTACGTCGGATTCGGAGAGGGCTCGGTGGTGGGTGTCACCGAACTGGATTCGCCGGCAGGGGAGGAGACCGTCGCCGCCAGGCAAGGGTAGCTACCGTCGATGAATCCAGTGAGGTCGTGGCTGCGTAGGAAAGGGAGCAACTGAGTGCGCCAAAACAGGAAGTTGCGTTGCGTGAGCTTCATCGAGGTAAAGTGATGAGCTCCGGCAAGAGGGTTGACGCCGGCCGGGGAGGAGCCACCAGCGGCGGAGGGCATTCTCTCAGACGAGTTGGATGACATGATCGCAAAAAGAGGGGGGGGGGGGGGGGGGGGCGGTTGCACAAAGAAGGGAGAGAGGATCGTTTAAGTTAGGCTGATACCAGATGAATGCGATAAATTCAATCAATTGCAACAGGAAAGAATTACAGAAAGTATATCATAAGTCTACCACTAAAGACTCCTATCTATCAGGGTAGTAGAACAGGACTTAATCATCTACCACACACTAATAGACTATAGACAAATAATAATAATAACAAATATATTAACCATACTAACATTAAGCACTAGCTACTAATTTATTCTTATGAAGCTAATCCTAACGAAAGACATGATTGAGCAATGACAAAAACTAAATAAAACAAAGTATGCAAGTTTAAGAAAATAATAAGGAGAGAATGAGATTCCTCGGATTTATGTATTTAATCACCTAGTGTCAATCTTAAGAACAATATTAAAATCTGGGTTTAACAAGTGTGAGAATGCAACTGGTATAAAGAGTTAGTCCCGCAATCTCTATCCTATGTGAATATTCACTCCCGTGATATAAACACCCAACAATATAAGAACAAGCATTCATAATAAATCCCTAATTACTGCCATCTCCCGATGTGCAACAATCAAAAATCAAACTCCATAACATATTTGCTATCTCCCAAGGTGCAACAGTTAAGTGCAATTGTGTGTGCCTTAAATTATGCCCAACTCCCGTTGTGACACAAAGAAAGTTATGAAACAAGTAATTACGGCCGTTAACTACTAGCAACAACAATATAAAACACAATTGCAACTCAAATTAAAACCCAAATAATAATATATTAAAGCATTAAAGAACTAGGCACAAAGGTTCATAACTACGTATTTTTCATCCAAAATTAGCCACACATGGCTAATATGCAATACATAGCAATAATTAAGAGTTTACAAATAATCTAAAAGAGTACAAGAATTAAACCAAGCGTGTGACAACCCGTAAATCCAAACACTAATCAAGGATTAATTAGAGAATTAATCCAAGTCTCTTTGCTAATTTATTCCTAAAAATCCAGAAATTTAATAGTCGAGGGACTAGATTTTCACTAGTACTTAAGTCAAAGGGTTGTACCTTGTGCTTCTTGAGTTGTGCCCTTGCTCCCTTGTCTTTCCAACATTAGTAACGGTAGGAATGTCTTTCTACCTAAATTTTTTGATCCAAGCTAACCTAGCAAGTCTCTTTCATTTCATTCACTCCTCAACCCAAGACACAAAAACTCTAGCCTCTCTCTAAAAGATTTAGCTTCTTCTCCAAGCTAGAGTTTGAGCATCCAAGTCTTGCAAGATATTCTCCCAAGGTTCCTACTTTCTCCATCTTGAGCATAAGAGAGGGTAAAATCCTTGATCTTTTGATGTTTTTAACCCTCTTTTAGGTATCTTTTTCTAAAGATAGGATCTTTGTTGTCTTTTGGTTTGTGTATGAAGTAGGTGTGGAAGAGGAGCTTTAGGAAAGGCTTTCTAAGGGTGAAAAGAGGAAGTTATTAGGCTACAAAGGTAACCCATGCTTTACAAAACCTATTTTCTTACTTATATGATAATTCTTGTGCTGATTTGTGAGATTTGATGCATTGTCTTGTGCTGATGCATTTTTAGAGCTTGTTCTTAGGGTTCTTGAATGCCATTTCTTGGGTTCAAGTCATATTGTTGTTGTGTGTGA